CCCCCCCCAGATGTAGGAAGGACAGATCTTCCCAGCGGTATCAGGCTGGTGGTGTAGGCCTTCTGAAATGAGCCCACAATGACACATCTGGCTAGTTGAGCCCAGCAAATGTGAAGGACCATGAGATAAAGATGGAGTTTGGAGCTGGGAAGTCCAGGCTCAGACTCCAGTGCCACGTTTGTTAGCTGTGTGGGTCGGGCGGGACGTTTCACTGGCCGAGTGTCAGTCTGCTCCTCTGTAGAATGGGATGGTGTCGCCGCTTCATAAGATTGCTTTTGATGAATAAGTGAGATAGTGAATATGGAAGGCTTTGCCCAGGGCCTGGCACAGAGGCTGGATCTGTTGCCATGGCCTGTGTCGGTGCTCGGCGTCTTGACCTTGAGCCCCTTGCCCTGGGAGCCCCTGGTCCTTCAGCAGTGTCTATGGCTCCAGGGGGCCTGGTCTGCACTGGGTTATTTCCCCGGGAAGGTAGAGGGTCTGGTCACCACCGCCCCTCTGGCCCTCCTGGCTTACCTTTTCATCTTCTGGATTGGTTGGCTGTGGCTTTCTCCACTTGTGCTGCTGGACCTCTCGCTGAAACACAGAGGGACAGTTTCAAGTTGCCTAGTGCCTGTTTTTCACACAAAGGGCACTTTCAGGGTCCCCTTGACACCTGCCGGCCCCCAGGATTCAGGTAAGGGAGGTGGTTCCAGTGAAGTCGCCAGTTATAGAACTCGGTGTGTATTTTCCCCATCTCTTTGCCTTTACCCCGTTCCTGGGGTGTCCTTGTTCCCTCCCCCATTACTCAAATCCTACAGTGTTTCCTGGTCTACAGCAGGTTCTACTTGCGCCGCCTCCTCTGGTCCAGCGTTGACTTTTGGTCTCTGCCTATTGGCAGGGTGACATACTTTCTGGATCCCAGCTTCTTTTGAATAAAACAGGTCTCTCTACCTAGAGGATAGGTTCATTGTAGATACTTCCTTCCTCCTGTCTACACCCATGAGCTCGTAACCCAGAGCTGAGGGAGGACTTGGTGATGGGATGGTCGAGTCCTGCTCGTCTGTCAAGTTGTCTTGGGTGCTCCTGACCCCAGGCTGACTGACTCTTCCTTTACTTTAAGGATTCTCTTCTCTAAATTGGACCCTTGGGCTGAACATCTATTTCACTTGACTTTGGAGGCAGGCAGAGCTGGGTGCAAAGCCCAGCCCTGGTCTTTGGGCAGGGAACTCCGCTCTGGATCGTCAGCGTCTTCATCTGTGACCAGTCAACTCCTCACACCATCTGACCAGTTTTCACGTGGGTCTAGCACCTTCTCTCTCACCCTGTCTCCCTCTGTTTCTTCCAAATGCCTCAAAATCTGACTGGGCTGCTTTATCTGTGTGGTTTTAGAGGGTAAGACTTTTTCCCCTCCCTTTGATGGGTGGCTAACCCTTTCCTTTTGGCCTTGTGACATCCAGGACTTCTTTAAGGAGGAAGGCTGGTGCTGTTCCAGACCCCTCTCCATAGGAAAGGTCCTGGCCTTTCCTGCTGTTCCCAGAGGCTCATGGGAACAGACCATGAGGTCTTAGGCCTGGCAGGTGATGGAGCAAATGCTTATCCCACTCAGCTGGGAGGCAGAGCCCCAGTGCTGATACCCAGAAGGCCTTGTGTTGGATTCTAACCAGCTACCTCAACCCCTGCAGATGAATCTTTGGGGGAGTGTGTTGGCTTTGACCTTCCTCATGCAGATGGCTTCCTTCTTTTCTAGACCTGACACCATGACTCAGGGAGGAGTTGGGAGGTGAGGGAAATAGTGTTATTAGCTGTGGTAAACAAACAAACAGATATAAACAACAAAAGATCCCTTGGCCTGTCTCAGCCTTCCTTCCCTTGTCTCTCGTTGACTTTTGGCCATACTGGTCTTTGCTCAGTGTCTCTAAGTTGCTTCCTGTCTCAGGCCCTTTGCACATGCTATTTCCTCTGCTTGGAACACTATTCCCACCTTTCCCACTCACAGGCTAGATCGTTCTTTTTTATTTCAGGTCTCCTCTTAAATGTCAAAGTCAGTCTTGGTTAGGACCCTGATGCTCGACGTTCACCCATAGTCCTGATTACAGGGCTGACTCGGGGGGGTTATCTGATAAATGCATGATTGGCCCATTAGACCAGCAGTTCTTAACCGTGGGCAGGATTCAAGGAGTCCGCGCATGCGGTTGGAAAGAAAGTTACACCTTTGCTTTAGCCGTTCGCAGGAATGGAAATCACAGGCGTCTGCACATCACAATTGCAACGGTGGGAGCTATTTTGAAAAATCATTTGCCCTCGACACTAATCCAAAATTATGGCCGTTCCTGGAGCTGCCGCCGAGTCTTGTTACGTGGTGTGTTTGTTGAAGATGCTCACAGATTTACTACATCCAGATATGGCTGTAATATCGTAGTCCTTCTTACTATAGATTTCTTTGTAAACCTTGGTAATTTACAGTTTGCATTTGAAAGCATTTTTCTGAAAGGATCCATAGGCTTCCTTGGACTGTCAAAGGGTTTATGGCACAAAAAAAGTGATGACCCCTGTCCAGACAGAGATTCATCAGGGCAGGCTGCGACGGTCTTGTTTGCTGCTGAATCCCCCCAAAACCTAGCACAGTCCCTGGCACGTAGTGGGCTCATTGAATATTCTTGAGACGAATGAATGACATGGGGACAGATCTCCTCTGCTCCGTTACAACTAACCCAATAAAGAGGAAAGGACTAGTTCTGCAACGTGCCCTCCCTTCTTTCTCCCTACATACCGGTGAGTGTCAGCTGTGTGGCTGGTTAGTGTACAGTCGCTGGGGAGAAAGGCCTGGGTACTCGCCCCCCAGCCTCAGGAGTTAAGGGGCTTATTTCTAGTGAGGAAGGAAAAAGCCACCCCTCCCCATCCCCCTTTCCATGGTCTGGTGAGGAGCCTGTCTGTACACAGCCCCTGGAACTGCGGGGTGCCTCCCGCCTACCTGCTGTGGGCCCCAGGCCTTCCTACCTGGATTTGTAGGTGGTCTGCGTGTCTTTATAGGTAGAATCGCTCTTGATCTGTCTCACCATCGACAAGATACTGCAAAGCAAGACGAGTCTCTTAATAAGGTACCAGACCTACGGTGCTCCTCAGGCGGTTACTCTCCGTGGGGGGACAAGTCATTCTCTTTCTAGAGCAGGGCTACTGAGACTCTCCCAGGCACAGGAATTGCCTGGAGAGATTGCTGAGAATACAGATTCCTGGGTCATCTCTTGGGGATTTGGATACATCAGGCCTAGGGTGGGTGGGGCCCAACCCTAAAAGCTGCATTTAAAACCACATGTGCACACACATGCACATACACACGCACACGCATGAGCACATGCACACTTGCATACACATGCGCGCTTCTGCTGCACATGTGCAGGGAGCACACTTTGAAACCTTAGAGTTTCTCAGCATATTGTGAAGAAATGCCCACCGAAGTGCTTATTACAAAATACGTTTTTTTCCGGAGTTTCCGACCCCTTGAGTCTGGGGTGGGGACCAGAAATTTGTATTTTTCACGAGCACCCCAGCTGATTCTGATCTTTGGGGACCTGTGGAAAACACTGCTAGAGGAATTTACGAAAAGGCTGTCTTCCTAGATGATGATGTCATCTGAATGCTTGTGCCCCTCCACCTCCGGTTCATACCTTGAAATCCCAACCCTCAAGGTGATGGTTAGGAGGTGGGGCCTTTGGGAGGTAATTGGATCGTGAGGGTGGAGCCCTCATCCATGGGGTTAGTGCCCTTCATAAGAGGCCCCAGAGAGCTAGCTTGTCCCTTCCTCCTTGTGAGGTTACAGTGAGAAGACAGCTGTCTGTGAGGCAGAGGGCCCTTACCGGACACCAGATCTGCCGGCACCTTGATCTCAGATTTCCAGCCTCCAAAACTGTGAGATAGAAATGCCTGTTGTTTATAAATGACCCAGTTTATGGTATTTGTTACAGTGGCCCAGACAACTAAGACAAATGACAGAAGGAGCTCTGGCCTTGAGGCTGGGGACTGGGTAGTTGGCTTTTAGGGGTTCCTAAAAACCCCAGAATTCTTTGTCAGCCTCGACGGGAGCAGATTTGGTGCCTAAAGTGAGAAGGGAATCTAGCTTCTGAAGTGAGGAGGGCGAAAGAAAACCTGCAGCTCCTCCTGTCCCTGCAGCTCCGGGGAGAGCCTTCAACGCCCACCCGCTGCCTTGGTGAGAGATGGGGGAGAATTTCCTCCCGGAGGGTGAGGGTGGGAGATTTCAACAGGCTCTTGCTCTGTAACCATGGTTATGTTATCATTAAAGCGAATGCAGAGGTCACATGGTGAGGTTTGTGCGGACCAGGTCCTTGCGTGGTTTTGTCTTTGACGACCTCATGCGAGTCGCTCATCACCATTCCTCCACGACTGGGAGACGGAGCGATGCAAATGGGTAATAAACCTGTCTCATTGGGGTGCTGCGAGGACTGTGGGACACTGTGTGTGTGAAATAAAAGTCACGGCCGTCACCACCACTACGACCACACCTGCCATTTGTTGAGTGCTTACAACAATACCAGGCACATTCTAATATGTTAAATATCTCACTGAATGCTTAAAACGACTCATTGGGGTAGACATTACCGCTGTAACAATGATAACAATACTTTACCAGGATAATAGCATTTAACTCTCACTGCAGCCCTTTGGGATAGGTTGTCGGTGAGCCTCATTCTACAGAATCGGAATAAGGCTCAGAGAGGTGAAGCAACTTGCTCAACATCACACAGCAGTGAAATGCTGAGAATGGAAATTGACCCTCGTCTGTTTGGTCCCAAGGCCAACGCTTTGATGCTGCTCCATTTCATTTTATGGATGAGAAAACTGAACTTTAGAGAAAGGCTGAGGAACTTGTTCAAAGGCATCAGAGTTTGAACCCAAGGCAGTTCCGACTCCAAAGCCAGTGTTCACACTGTGAGTTCTTACAAAGGGAGGAGCCTTAAGGAGCTGATCGTCATTACTTTCTGTGCCTCTTGCTGATGAATCAGGCACAGCAGTCAGGGGCCAGTGTCGTCTCCGAGTGCCTGCGAGGGCCACGCCTCGGAGCCCCGATGCCAGTTGGGGCAGTAGCAGGGAAATTCATCATTACAAGCAGAGGTGAGGGTGCTCGGCGAACTCTAATTATGGTAATAACAATAACCACTAAGTCATATCCGGCATCTCAGTAGGCTCAAGGTGGTGATGAACCTCTCCTGGTGCCTCATTTATTTTCAGCCAGTACTTTGCTTATTTGGAGGAACCTACACTTGGGAAGGGAGCTCCAGCTCTAGCCCGTCTGCTCTCCAAGGCCTTTAGAGGCCAGAAGCTCTGTGGATGAAGCTTCCCACCAGAAGGAAGACATTTCAGGTTTAAGTCTGACACTTGGAGCCAATCATATTGGTCACCAGCCTGAAATGTCAAAGGAGTCTTGTGGCTCCCGGGATAGACATGAGAATCCTGGAGGTAGCTTCCACGGTCTCAGATAGTTCTTTGAAGGTGCCATGGTCTCTCTTGAACATGTTTGCGTATGTATATGTGCTGGCTGTAATGCTCTCCCTTCCCCCTATCCCCACCTCCTTTTCATGCTTCATTCGAAAATCTCAGCTTAATGTTTCTTTCTTGGAGGAACCTTCTCTGATCCCCAGACCAGATCGGATACCTGTAGTATTTACTCTCACAGGTCTGAGCTTTCCTGCCAGAACACCTCCCTCTGAAATGAGTACAGAGCCCATACACTTTCATAGTCACTAACAGAATGGATGGATAGAGAACAGTTTTTGGAAATAGATCTGGATTCAAGTTGTGGTCTTACATTCATTAGCTCGGTGACCTCCAACAAGTCACTTTACTTCTCTGGGCCTCATTTCCTCATTTGTAAAACAAAGATGATAGTACGGATCTCCTAGGGTGGTTGTGAGAACCTGGAGAGATGATATATGTGAGAAAAGAACATCGCTCAGTGCTTACACCAGAGAAAACACTCGGTAACTGGGAACGGCTATTGTCAATGGTACCGTGGTTATTCTGTTATCCTTTATTTGCCCCAGGAGTCCAGAGAACATACCTGGGTGCGCTTTTTTGCGTCTCACTATCCTTCATGACCGTCCTCCGGGCCTCTTCCCGAACCATCTCCAGGAGCTTCTGCAGATCTGATGGAACATAAGAGGTCACTATCTGGAGGGCTGTCTTGAGACTGGATTGTGCAGGACAGGGCCCAGCCCCCAGCCTAACGTGGCATGAATATAACAATAACCATATATTTTTAAGAAGAAAACCGGGTCCCATTACTCCTGTACCGAAACCTTCCAGAGACTTCCTGTTGCACTTGGAATAATTCTGAAGTCCTTACCTTGCCTCTGCAAAGGCTGTTTAGGCTCTGGCCCCTGCCTCCCTCCCTGGCTTCGTATCTTCAGGTCTCAGCTCAAACGTCAGGGTTGAGAGAGGCCTCCCTTAACCACCCAGCTAAACTAGCCCCATTCCCACCATTAGTCTCTTTCAAGCTCGATATCTCGTTTTATTCTTTTTGATCATGTATTATCTGCATTTATCTTGCTATTTATGGTTTTCTTATTTATTGTCTGCTTTTTCCTTCCAAAATGTGAGCTTAGGGAGGGCAGGTACTGTAATTCTCCGTAGCTAATCGATAGATACGTGTAGAATGAAAGAAGGTTTAAGAGATCCGTAAGAGTCACGCGTCTGCTGATGGCTTATCTTAGCTCCACTTCACGTAATACTCCTGTTCTGTAAACAGCTCTTCAGGGATTGGACCTTTTTTGGTCCCTTGTTGACAAGGGAGATGTTAGGAATCATGGGTGGTTGTTCCTCTGAGTCCTAGCCACTCACTGAACTTTTGCACATTTGTAGCTCTGATGGCCCCAGTCGGGCTTTCTGGTCTACCTTGACCTCTTGTCCAACCTACTTGAATCAACACTACACTCAATCCTTGTCAGCCCAGCCCAGCCCAGCCCAGCCCAGCCCAGCATTGGCCCAGCTTGGGTGCCACTGAGGGGACATGGCAGATGTGGCCATGGCAGGAAGGTGTCCCATGCAGCCGCCTCTCATGCCCCGTTTCCCTTTCTTCCTTCTCCATCTTTCCGTATAAATCCTTGTTTTCACTTCCCTGTCTCCTTGAGGCTCAGGCCAGAAAGTTCTGAGAGTGAACTTTTTACATGACGTATGGGGTCCACTCATAGCTGCCTCTGGTGGGGGCCCGCAGGCTCCCCCGAAGGAGTCTGCAGAACCGTGTATTTGTGCATGTTTGAATTTCTCTTCTGGAGAGAGGACCTGTCACTTTCAATAGAGTTTCTAAACAACTCGTGTCTCCAAAATGATGAACCACGGAAACGGTGTGCTCCAGAGTGGGGATCACAGGGTGGTAAAACTCCCATGTAGAAAACATTCAGGAGAGGCAAATCCTTAGAGACAGAAAGTAGGTTTGTGGTTGCCGGGGGCTGAGGGTGGGATAGGAGAGGGTCTGCCAAGGGATATGAGGTTTTCTTTTGGGTTGATTGAAATGTTCTAAAGTTAAATCGCAGTTACCCAACTCTGTAAATTTACTAAAAATCATTGAATTGTATTCTTAAAATGAGTGAATTTTAGGGTGTGTAAAATTATACCTCAAAATCTGTTAAAATAGACAATGAATTTCAAAAGTTAGTATGAAAAAATATAAAATAGTTCATTAATAATATTTGTATTCTGATTACAAGTTGAAATGATAATGTTTTGTATAAACTGGGCTCAATGAAATGCATTATTAACGTGGTAAACAGAGAAATTGATGACCATTGGCTGTCTCCCAAGGAGTGGTAGTTCAGAGTAACCCAGGTTATAGGGTATATTTCTGATCTCCTTTGGAGTAAAGCAAAGGGGTCCAAGGAAATAGAACAGGGCCAGGGGCCCCTGTGTCTCTCTAATTGAGTCGGGGCAGAAGTGGGGCAGGAGGCGGTCTTGATGTCCGGCTTCAGGGCGAAGCGTCAGGGCAGATGGGCCAAATCTCAGGCAGGACTTACTGATGTGGAGAGGCTCTTCGTCTGGCTTGGTTGAAGACGATTCAGTGTCCTCGACGTCCTTGCTGCCTGTGGCCTGGATGACCACGGTGGGCGGCTCCTCTGAGCCAGGGTTCATGGAGAGCATGCTGTTCTGGGGAGAGGAGCCCGCGCTGGCTCGGGACAGGCTGAGTGTGGAGCCTCGCCGGCTTGGTTTGCGGCTCGCGGTGCGTAGTGTAGGAATTTTGAATTTCTTGGTCTGAAGGAAAGAGAAGATAGAGGGCTTTTAGAAAGGAAGAAGGAAGGACAGAAGGGTGGGAAGAGGTAAAGAAAGAGGGAGGGAGACAGGGAGGGAGGGAGGGAGGGAGGAGGGAGAAAAAGTGAAAACCTGGTCCTGAATGTGAATTCCTTTTGGCTCTTCCCAAACACTAGGAGATACACGGCCAGCCTGAAGTGACCCTCTGTCACAAACTGAGATAATTTAAGAATGTGTGCTATTTGAGGTAAAGGGGACGAGACTTTTCTATTCACTGAGCTCCGTGGTTGCCCAGGCCATTGCCACAGGGAGCCAGACCTGTGTTCCCACGGCCTTGCCATGGCCTAGAATGGTTTTCGGCTTTTCTGGAGTGAGTGGTCATCAGAACTGATTTTTAGCCTGTGGGAGAGGATGGGTGGCTCTAATTTCTACATGTTGGTTTTGACCCCAAATTGCACCTATCACACTTAATTGTTCACCAGGTTGACGCCTGGGCCTCAGGAATGAAGATATGTATTAATGTGTGTGTTTTTTTCCACCCCAAAGAACACCAGACAGAAAATTCTAAGCCTGACGTTTTTGTAGGGGGAAGCAGATGTGGCTGGTGCATTGGCACTCTTGTCGCGGGGGGAAGACCTGTGGTTGTGATGGGCAGGAAAGTCTAGATGACAAGTCTCAGAAGCTCTGGGTAGGTAGGGAAAGTCCTGCGAGGGGAATGTGGATTTTTGGAAGGAATGGAGTCAGAGAGGGCTGGTTATGTGTGTATGTGTCCATGCTTGTGTGTATGTTTGTGTGTTTATTTATGGGTTTGTTTGTGTGTGTGCGCGTGTTTGTGTGTATTTGTGTGTGTGTGCTTGTGTGGGTGTGTGGTAGTGTCTGTGTCTGTGTGTTTATGTGTGCTTTTATGTGTGTGTGTGTACACACACGCTCTTGGTGTTCCTTCAGAATGCACTGTGTGAAGTCATGTCCTCATTTCACTCAGGACCCAAGTCCCCGAGAGGCTCCTGACTTGCCCAAGGTCACGCATCCAGCAGGACCCATTTCGGGGAGTCCACTGTATGTGATCAGAAGTAATTTTTTGATTGGCCACCTTGTGGCCGAGTGTGGGCAGAACTTTCCTGCATTGGAAGAGGGAGGGACAAACGATGGGATGCTTCAGAATGTGACAGACAGGGGAACTGGAATTTGAACTGGGTTTACCCCAATCTCCAAGGGAGCACGCGGGTTACAGAATGACTGTGATAAAGGAAAAACCAACGCCAGAAGTTGGCATGTTCTCTCCTTGTATAAATTAGGAGCTTGATACAGCGGCCCCTTTGTCTTGACATTGGTCAAGAGCTTGCTAGACTGACGAGAACCCCTTGCTCCCTGCCACCCTGGGGAGAGATGATGTCTGAGCTCAAGGATATTACATAGAGAAGCTGCCTCCTTCCATTGCCTCTGGCGCAATGTGAATTTCCGACTCTAGAAACCAGGTGCTTGAGGTCAGTGTCAGTTTTGAAGGCTGGACAGATTGTGTCGAGGGGGCAGCCTGGTGTCTTGCAATGAGCACTGGACTCAGAGCCCGGGGACCTCAGGGGTGAGGCCTGGAGCAAGTTGCTCTGCCTTGCCTCAGTTTCATCATCTATAAAGCAAAGAGGAGGGACTGGGATGATCTGAGAAGAGCTTTTCGTATCCAGAGTTCGGTGTGCATCTTCCATGAGCTAGGGTTTCATTTTGTGCTTCTGAAGTTGCCATTAATTAAAATTCAATTAACGACCTCAGTCAGGAAATCCACAGTGAAGGGCTGACACTTCTGATTAATTGAGAGTGGCAGAAGAGTAAAACGGGGAAGGGGGGAATGTGACAAGCAGTTTCAGCATCCCCCTTGCCCTTTATTGAACTGACTCTCTCTGAATTGACTTAAATCCCCAATGCTTCTCTATTTTTTTAAAAAATATTTCACTCAAGAGCTGTGTTAACCAGCTGCTGTATTCCACCTCAGTAGGGACTGCAATGATTCCTTATACTTTCTGAGAAGTAGGGGCTCCAAACTGTCAGCCCCAGGGGAAACATTTAGCTGCCCAGAATTTTACAAGTTGAGGAGAATTTTATATGAAAACTGAGGCTCTTGGTCTCTCTTGAAACTGATAAGCCTTGGGTTTTCATTCTGACATGGCAAAACGAGCTAATGCTGAGCAGAGGTTCTTTCCTTTAGCTGTGTAGTATTCCTGTTTGCCACAGACCTCACCACACCCTGTTGCCTTACTCAGCCTTATTTTTTTATTTATTTACTCATTTTGCCAGGCTCTTATGAACACTGCCTTGGCACTGTCAAGCTCTACACATACAGAAGAATATCACTGCTGTGTGGGTTGATGAGAACCTCTCTTTCACAGTGCTCATTTTGCAGGTGGAGAAACTGAGGTCAGGAGAGATGAAAGGATTTGTCCCATGCGATGCAGCAGACTGAGCCGTGGTGGCTGAGCTAGGTCTCCTGACTCCTAATTTAGTGCTTCCCCCATCCTCAGAGTGGACCACATTGCAGCACAGAGTTTGACCCCACAGGCTTCCCTGGGGGAATTCAATTTTGTGAGAGTTTAAGTGTGGAGATTCACTCTCCCTTCCTCCAATTTCCGTTGTGTATAATCCCGAAGGACATCTTTTAAAGGTTTGTGGCTCCTGCTGCTTTTTCTGTGCATCTCTGGAGACGGATGCACACGATATCTCCATAGCAACTTCCTGTGATAAAAACCAGTGTTCCTACTTCTCAGAGCTATGAGCACCCTGATGAAATAGCAAGAACATGCCGAAACTCTTCATGAGGGGCAGTTATAGTCATGGTACCATGGAGAACATGCATCCGAAAGCCCAGTGTTTAGTAAACAGTGTTTAATAAACAGACCAAGGTTGACTCTTGGCTCTGCCGTGACCCAGCTGTGTGACCTTGTGCAAGTCACTTAACGTCCCTGAGCCCCAGCTTCCTCCTGTCCCATCTGGGGGTCAGAATGCTGCCTCATGGGATTGCTAAGAGGACAGGCTAGCTTCCTTAGCACACAACCTGGTCCATTGCAGCTATGTTAACAAGTGGCTTCTAAAAATTATATAACCAGAGGAATGCCCAGCACTTGAGCATTTTCAAGTGAGTTTGTGTGTTGTCTCCTGGGATCCTTTACTGATGTTGCGAAGTAGCCGGGGGTGAGCATCACACCCGTTTCATGGGTAAGGGGAAAGGTTCCGCCAACGCTCTAGTCATATGCTCTCTCGCCCACCTTCACATGTCTAAAGATCACCTGCCGTTATTGTTATTTTGTTGAGTAGATGAATTTGGGAGATTGGGGGCTGAGAATAGTTTTCTGCGAAAAGAGTCGACCTCTTGATGTTCTCTTAATAAGCACGTTCTAGTTCATAGAAAGCCATGTCTGTCCAATCTTATTTTCTGACTGTGTGTGTGTGTGAGAGAGAGAGAGAAAGAGGGAAATCGAGAGGGAGGTGACTGTTACTGATTAAAAATATAGAGTGAGGTGGGCCCATTTCCTTCTGGTGACATCTGTTAAGGAGCGCCTCGGCCGTCCCTCCCCTCCTCTGTGAAGAGATGTCCAGCCAAATGTCATTTCTCCTCTAATCCCCAGATAACTACCCAAGAGCAGGTGGTTCTGACTCCCCTTCCCTCAGAGAACCCACCAGAAAAAAAGAGAAATCCCGTGAGAGAAAAGACTGCCAAGGACGCCACCGGCACACGCCGGGGCTGGTAGTCAGGCGGCAAGTCGAGACCTGTCTGTTACCTTGGGCGCCGTGATGAAGTGCTCCCACCTCTGTCCCATGGACTTGTCCTTAATGATCTTTTTTATCGTGCTCTTGCTTCCACCTGGGTCCCTGAGTGAGAAACAGCTTAATGAGTTTTCCGTTTCCAGAGTCTTGGTTTATTACAAGTTCTTTTAAGAAATGCAATAAGCAGACGATGGCTGGTGGCTGGTCTCGGATATGATCTTTTTTACCCTGTCCTGTACCCGTGAAGAAGTGGGAGGGACAGTTCTCCATAGCTGGGTCTTGCGAGTGAAAATCAAGGTTAGCAGAGACCCCTGCTCACTGAGGGCGGGGATGCGTGGGGTGGGAGCGGGGCCGAGGGAGGTGGAATATATTTGCATGCGTTCTGCATCTGCTTGCATTTTGGACTCCCGTCCTCTCAGACTCCAGGGCAGGTCTGCGCTTGCCCCGGGGGAGTGAAATGAAAAGCGTGTTCATTTCGGAATCTCTGCCCACTCTGATGCCTGAGGGTCCCACCATCAGGGACACTTCTCAGTAACACAGAGAGAGCCTTGCTGGGTGGGGGCTGGGGGGAGCGTGGGGGTGGATTGCACAGTGAAAATCACTGGAGTTTATTGAGCAAAAGTTCTGTACGATGTTATAGGCAAGATGCTTCTGTGCATTCTCACTAAATCGTTGCAACGAAACCTTGTGATATAGTCATTACCATCCCTTCTTACAGATGAGAAAACAAACCGGAGGAGGAGGTCTTAAGTCGCTCTTACCATGGTGCGTATGTGCAGTGAATCAAATGACCCTCGCTTGCATGGGCCTCTCCAGGGCCCTGCACCGAACTTTGTATTGTAATTTTGTATTCTGTTTCTTAAAGCTCCCCCCTCCCCCAGTTAAATATTAGGTCCTGCAAAACCTGGCTCCTCCCCTCGTGGGTTGGGGGATTTTCTGGGTATGCGACCAATCGAAGCCCCAGCAGGCTCTGTTGGTGACATGCCCGCAATCCCTTATCTGAAACCCGTGGAACCAGATGCGAGACCAGATTCAGAGTTTTGGCATCTTGGAAAGGAGCGAAGCAGCACGTGTCACGTGCTAATATCATCACTCCAGGGGGGCCTGAGGTGGCATGCTGCAAGTCAAACATGGTGATATTTCTGCAATGATGTATATGAATATTCACACTGGGGTGTGTGTGTGTAAATAAAGGCTATAAATTGCTTCAAGTTTTTACCATCAAATAATTGGGTTCATCGCAGATTTTGCTGCCAAATGGGTTTCGGGGAAACTGAGTTTTCAGAGCCCTTTGGACGTTGGACTTGTGGCTGTGCCGCAGTGGCTCTCTGATGAGCAAGCTGAAGACTCCTGTCTGCTCTCTCAACTACCCCACCTATCTGTTGGTTGGTTGATTGATCTATCGATCCTGTCCTTCCTGCCTGCCTTCCTCCCT